GGCTCTAAGGTGCCAACACCAGTTGTATCGGATATAGCTGTATCATGCCTGCTTATGAATGTAATTATGTAAGATGAAGCATGGAAAGAAGAAGCTTCAAAGAAGATGGAAGAAAGAGGAGTCAGTGAACTAGAATAAAACGACAAGTCCAGGTTATTAGGAATCCTTATTCCACTTTTGATTGGTCCTCTCTCTCAAGAAAGAAAGAAAACAAGTCTGAACTTGGAACTCTGTCGAGTATCGATGCTTTCAACTCTTCTCCATTGGTTCGCCTACTCGTATGTGCCGTCTAGGGGCTCATCAGAAGCAAGAACTTCTACCTTGTCAACTAGCTCAAGATTTGAAGGTAATTCGGAGTTCGCTAACATTCACTCACCTGGAATACTTCCACCTATCGGCTCAGAATTCCATTACGCCCAGTTAACTCACTGCTTTCGCGGATTCGCTAAGCAACTGAAAGAAAAAAAAGAAATGCTCAAAGGTGGTTCTGAGCTTGAATCTTCATATCCTTCAGTCACTCCAGGTGAGAAGTTCGGCTAAGCCGGAAAGATAGATCGAGTTTACCCTCTTGATTGACTTTAGGACTGAAAGAAGCCGGTAGCAAAGGAAATGGCAGCAGTGCTTTATATAACATAACTGCTTTTACTACTAGCCTATTTACTACCCGACTTCTTTTCTTAAAGCTCTAGCCCTTCTTCTGACCTAGAACCTGCTTTCTACTCAGATGTTGCATAGTTCGACCTTGGCAAATAGCCCTTCCTTCTTCCTGGGGAAAGAATCCTTCCTCCTTTCCTTCTTTCTTTACTTCTGGGTAAACCCAACCCGAATGGGAAGAAGAGGGAGGGAAAGAGCGGTCCATTTTTTACATTTTCTGAGGCAGACCTATTTGGCATTTTAGAAAAGGGAAGGGAACTTCTCACCGAAGGGGGCAGTAGGAATGAAGGAGGCGGGAAGCTACCGCTTCTAGAATGCAAGCTTATCCTTTACTTTTTTTTAGAGCTAGAGCGTACCGCTATTTTAATAATAAGGAAAAGTTTATGGATGAAGTAATCGGAGTGACAAATGGTTACGGTTGCAGAAACCGGAGAAAGTCGAGAACCGTCGGTTACCTTTTGAATCAAAGTAGCGACAAGCCGAGTACTACGACTACAGGGGGGAAGCTTTGCTTCGTAGACAGCTTCGCTTCCTCGTCGCTTCTTTCTGGCGACTAGCTTCTCAAGTGGGTGGCTTGGTAAGCAACAAGCTACCCTCAGCATCGGTAAAATCCCTATCAAAAAAAAATAGGCCAGAATGGTGGGGAAGGGGGCCCTCCCTACTTCAATGGAAAGGGGGAATCGCCGTTTCACAGCCGTTCCTCTACAACTACCTTTCGCCCAACATGATCACAAACGAAGACAGAGAATTGCAGGAGGACGAAATGAACCAACCCACTTGTCCTGATCGGAACGATTGAAGAAAGAAAGAAAAGCCCCTTTCGCCCAGGATCGTCGGAGAACAATGTCGGGGACAGGGTGAGAACCTTCCTTCCGTTGGTTACGCCTTTTAAGTGTCGGTTCTTCCATATTTAGATATGG